GTGTGCGTGCGTGCTAACGGTGTGAAGTTCAGGGTTGAAGTATCCAGTTGTGTGTTGACCATCCTGCCCTTCTCTCCTCTTCTGTTCTTCCTCCTCCCTCCATTCTATTGTACGATGATGATTTGTGGTTCTACTTCTTTCTCCTCTTCGATCTTCTTGCCTTTTGGTCTGTCCTTTCTCTCTTGCTCATTTGGTCGACTACCCTCTTCTGTTATTCTCTCTTTTTCGCGCTCGTCCTATCCTTTAGAGACTCATCCGCTGTTTTTGTTTTTCTAATCATTTATTTTGAACGGAAAGCACGTGAGAGATGATACAGGAAATGGTTTGAGGACCTACCGAAAGCGACGGAATTAATAATGAAATGGCACTTGGGCTCTGGTCATTATTACGTTCTCCGGAAGCGAGAGAGAGGATGTCTCGAAAGTGATCCGTTCGCACGCGTACCTCTCTGTGAGAGGGCCTCGCCGCACACCAGTCGCCAAACGCGAACACAGTTTGAATGTATCGGGACTTCGGATAGTCCGGATACGTTCAGAATGTTAGAGTTGGACGAGTCGTGCGGCAGGGCCCAGAGGCCGATGGGAGGCGATCTTATGACTTGTAGCACGGATTCGATCGCCCGAATCGACGGTGCTCCCATCCAGGGAGCTGAAGAGGGGGTGGTATATGTGACCCTTTAGGTAGGTGATATACTCGAGGGAAGCGATTCCTACACGCGGGGTTGCACTTCACGATATTGCACCCTGGGCGGTGGTGTATGCTTGTTGAGAGATGGCTGGAGAATGGGCGGCTGAAGAATGGGCGGGGGAACGGGTGGGTGGGTGCATTTCTTACTGGCTAGAGGGGTAAGACTCCCTACCAAGAAAGAGGCCAATCTCAATCACCATATGAACATTGTGACAGGGTCTGTTGGGGGCATAGGGGGGGAGGAGGAGGGAGGAGGAGGAGGAGATGGTGGTGGAGGTGGTGGTGTCTGCTACGCTCCGTCGCAAGTGCAGATTGTGACAAAAGAGATCTCCCCGCGCTACGGTCTTCTTCTTCCGAACATAACGCACCCTGATAATGTATGCATTAAAGTCAGTGTTTCGGCCCGGTACAGCCTTTATCAGAGTGCGTTGTATTTGAAGTAAGACGGTAGTAATTGATGATCGAGGGCCTCATCTTGGCGTTTCTGACAGTGGGATTATGTGGTCTGAGGACAGAATTGTGACACGTGGCATCGGTTGCATTTGGGATTATGTGGTCTGAGGACAGAATTGTGACACGTGGCATCGGTTGCATTTAGGACAGCCAGCCACATATCTGAGAATGGGTGTGCGCACTACCCTTTCTCGAGCTCATTCGGAACAGCTGAGATTGCGTTGGTGTCTTTTTTTTCTTTTTTTTTTTTCGCCGTTGGTGTCGTGATGTCGGCCTTGCTGAGAATGTAGCCTGTCGTGCTCCGTTATGAGTGCGAACGACGTGGTCGGGGGTTTCCTCCGAGAGTGAGTTGTAAGGAATGGGCTTTGCGCAGCTTGATTGAGAAAACAAGGCAGGAAAGGGTAAATGGAATTGGGAAGGAGTCGGAGAGGGGGAGGTGGAGGGAAAGAGAGGTGGAGGGAGGAGATCGACAGGTTCTCTGGAGTTGGTGAGCTGTCATGGCAAAGGGGATGATCAATTCGATGCCATTCCTTGTGCACGAGGGAGAGGCGGAGGTGGGGGGGAACAAGAGAGAGAGAGGGAGAGAGGAAGTTGCATTGGCTTGCATCTCGCTCGTCGGAAACGGTAGGAGACAGGGTGAGTGGCGGCGCTGGCGTGTGTGGGTTTTGGCGTGATGGAATCGACCAGAACTTGATGCTCTCTCCTAATCAGTGTTTGTAGGTGTGGTTGGGGACTCTGTGAGGTAGGTGCACAGCCCTTTGATTTCTAGAGCTGTCTGCTCACAAATATCTCCTTGCCTGTGCGCTCGTTTGTGTCTCTGTGCGCGCGTGTTCGTCCCTGTGCCTCTGTGCCTCTGTGTGTGTCTCTGTGTGCCTCTGTGTGTGTGTGTGTGTGTGTGTGTGTGTGTGTGTGTGTGTGTGTGACAATTTCTTTTGATTGCAGAGGATGTACACTGATAAGTTCGGAATGCAGACAACATCAAACAACAGCCATTGGTTGAGAAGGAAGCTGATTGGGACGTTCGGTCAGTCCATCGATCTCGCTCTGCCTCTTCCCGTTCTCTTTCCTTCTTTCTTCCCCTACTCTTCTCCAGGGGCCTTCCCTCTCGTACTCCAGGGGCCCTTTCAAGGAACCAGCGTAATCCGATTCCAATCCCAAAAGAGAAACCATGTCTGATTGTCCTCTGCATCTCTGTTAAAACACGCTCCTCTGTGTGTGTGTGTGTGTGTGTGTGTGTGTGTGTGTGTGTGTGTGTGTGTGTGTGAGAGAGAGAGAGAGTGAGAGAGAGAGCTTGTCCTCTGCATCTGTTAAAATACCTTCCTCTGTGTGTGTGTGTGTGTGTGTGTGTGTGAGAGAGAGAGAGAGAGAGCATGCCAAGCATGCCTGCCTCTCTGTGGAGCTTGCACCCGTCGATAAGTGTGCTGTGTGAGGCGGCCGTGGTGGCTTTCCCTGTAGGTTGCTCAAGCCGAAAGGGAGTTGGGCAGGGGTGAGGGATGATTCCTTTTTTTTTTTTTTAATTCTTAGCAGCGATCGTTCTTTTGCGTTCATATAATAAAAAATGTATCTTTTGTATACAGCACGATAAACAACGGCGGACCATTACTGCAACACTGTCCTATGGTCACGCCTTTTTGTTGTTTTAAGGAGTTTTTAAATAAATCGTCGTCCTCGTACTAATAGGCATGAATGGTCACGGCGGCATTCTATATTCATTTTTTTTTCTGCCATTCCATATTCTTTTTTTTTCTTTCTTTCGAATTCCAAACAGTTGTCATTGTGGCTGGCGGAGTGAGGGGAGTAGGCTCGGCCTTATCACCCCTGCCATCATTTATCCTTTTCTTCTTGTGCGACTCTCGGCAGGGAAGATGAATAACATGAAATAATATGAAATAACATGAAATAATATGAAATAATATGAAATAATATGAAATAGCATGAAATAATATGAAATAACATGAAATAATATGAAATAACACGAAACGAAATCGCATGAAAATAGTGTAAATCTGGCTATATGCTGGAACCTCCGAGTGAAGCAATTACATGAAATGAAATCAGAACCAAAAAAAGACGAAGAAAACGAGCTGTTTTATACATACCTTTCCTCTTCTCATCACCCGTCCGTTCCTGGACGTTTACTGGCACATAATTTCTGGAAACCACACTGGCAAATCAAACTCCGGTGCTGCCGTTTGAATCCCTCTGTGTTTTCCCAGTGGTTCACCCTTCTCGTCTTCTCGCTCCCGTTCTTTCTTTCATCTTCCGCATGCCCTTTCACCATAGCCAGCCGTTAGACTCTTTCCTTGCTTTTATTGCAGGTTTGCGGGTCTTTTTCTATGGTGCTCTTTTCTTCACATGGCAAATTTACAATCAACATTATCTAATCAACATAATCTTGATCATCATCATCATCATCATCATCATCATCATCATACTCAACGTGATTGCCATCAACGATCGATCCTCTTGATTGTCATCATCATCATCATCATCATCATACCGTCAAGGTCATCATCATCGGCAGCAGGAGGGACATAACATAGTAGCCGAATTGCAAGTAGTTACGCAACATGGTAAGCTTAATGGTTAATGATTAAATGATAACTTCCCCCCTTCCCTCGCCCACCAGTACTCCACAAGTAGTTATGAGTACGTTGTTTGTTTATTTCCAATCGATGTTACTCGCTCTCCCCATCCAAAGGGCCTTTCAATGAAACAAAGAAAACGAAAAAGAGGGCCTCTCTTGTTCAACAGTTTGCACGACTCTTATGATGCAGTCGACCAGACACACAAGAGTCGTGCAAACTGTTGATCGGAGTCCTTTTTTTTCGTTTTCTTTTTTCATTGAAAGGCCCTTTGAATGAGGAGAGCGAGTAACGTCGATAGGAAATAAACAAACGACATAAGGGACCGGCTCGCGGAAGTAAAACCACGGTACAAATGTAGGGATGGGGCAATCAGACGCTGGGTTGCCTTCCCCCCCCCTTTCTTGCCCCCCTCTTTCCTCCCTCCAGCCATGCTTGACGTGCGCGTGCAAGAGGGGTAGGTTACAGAGAAATCAGAATTCTTCGGATTGGTCCACCGATTGCCTGCTTGTGTTGTTTAAAGACGTGTACTTAAGGACGTTACACTTTAGGGTGGACGTCACATATTGCCCGCTGATGTTCGAAAGGACAAAACTAGAACAGTGAGAGCGCGCCTGGACATGGGCACATCCATGTGCAGATCATGCACTTGGGCGTCTGCACATCCAGGTGCATTTTGACAGGGCTTGTTCTGTCATTCACAAACTTGGACACGCTAGTCATGTACCTTCCCCTATATTGTAATCGCCACGGCTGGCAAGCCAGGCTGGATGTTCTTTTGTTGGAAAAGTGCGTATCAACTGAGGGCACACTCACACAAGCACTTTTCTCAATGTATCTGACGGGTTCTGACCACGATTATGGCGCGGTCTGGATGCGTCTGACCACAATCACGTCCAGATCTGAGTCGAAAAGTCTGAGAGTGAGTATGCCCTGATATTATTGGATTATCAATGGGTCTTTTGGCTGTGCAGGCCGGGCAGTGCTTACTCCCCACTCGATCGGCTTATCAGATTGCTCAGACCCATTTGACTCCCCTATCTGATGCTCCCCGATTACTGCGCTGCTCTCACCATCCATGATTGGTGGAGTGTCACACATACTCTCCCTTCCATCAGCTTATCAGATTGCTCAGATCCAATAGACTCCGATTACTGTTCTTCTCTCATCACCCATGATTGGGGTCAGTTTATCAGATTGCTCAGATCCAGTCAACCCCGATTACTGTTCCGCTCTCAGCACCCATGATTGGGGGAGCGTCACGGCCGAGGAGGAGGAGCTGGCAGAACAGCAGCGCATGGCATTCGACTGCGTGCACCTGGCCATGCTGCTGTAGTCCGAATGTACGACCTTCCCCTGCATATTGATGACCAACGAGTCATTTATGTGTTCAAACTTCAAACCCACCTGAATATGGGAGGTCCAAGTGTTACGCCCTATCGAATTCTCAGAAGAAAAGCAAACAGTGCAGCAGGCTCATTGACCTTCTGAAAGGCGGCACCGGCATATAAATGACCAACGAGTCGTTAGGAGTTCAAACCCACCTGAGGCCCAATCAAATTCTTAGAAGAAAAGGGAACAGTGCTGCAGTCTGATTGACCTGCTGAAAGGCGGTTCCAATGTGCAACCAATACTTGTGATTGGCCGGTCGGCAACTCTTTCCCAGTGCAGCAGTCTACATAAAGGTCCACGGAACGTGAGCTATCATCTTTCTCTGTTATATACCAGTGACCTGGCAGGTGCTGGTCCCCTCACTCGGTACCCATATCAAATATGCGGGGGAAGGGGGTTGGAGAAGCTGCAGGAGGATGCAACGGGTAGTGAATGGGTGAGGTAGGGCGGAGGGGAAAAAGCGGGTTACAAATAAGGGATGGATTTGATAGTACAGAAGAACGGCTGAGAGGAAGAAATGCGCGTGCCAATACAGGGATGATCGACTTGAACTGAAATACAAACAGGTGGAAGAGTATCACCCTAGGCAGTGTTAGCAGATTGAACAACAGTAGGAGCAGGAGGAGGAGGAGGAGGAGGAGGAGGAGGAAGTAAAGAAGGAAGAGCCCCCCTCTTAAGCTCGGTAAATGATACCGTCTGGACGAGTGGTGCTGCGTTTTCCTTGGGCCTGGAAGGCTCACTCACTGAGCATCCAGCTACTGAGGGCTTTTTGGGCAGATGCGGTGCACGCACTTTGTCTGTGCATCGGGACACTGAAGAGGTGAGAGGAGAAGAAGTGACTGTAGCTGGCCTGCTTTGACTGGGGTGAATGACGACCCCTTCCTCCCCGCTGTTATGCCCCCTTCCCCACCGCACACCGTCTGTTCCCCCTACAAAACAGCTCGCTGTTTGGAGAATACTATGTCAGGCTAGGGAGGATCACTGGCTGCCATTCTGGACGAAGTGGTTCGTGCAGACATCCGTCAGGGAGAACAGAGAAGCAGTGCTGGTAGGGGAATAATAATGCAGGCATCTTTACATTCAATCACGCGTGCAAAGCGGAAAGGATGCGAAAGTCTTCACCCAAATAGAACGCCCTGTCATTGTTGTTGTATTTAGACTAAACGTTGCCCCAAATACAGCACAACAATGACCGGGTGTTCTATTCGGGTGAAGATGGTAGGGGTAATGGGGCTCCCATTATATTAGGCTCTTCCTCCTAGGCCATTCCTGGTCGTTGTCTACACATAAAAAAAGGGCTGATGAAACCTCTAACAGTGGTTTAATTGTTTGCTAGTCAATGAAGACTGCTGGTGTTTTCCGTTCAGGTAGAGGCGTTGCAACAGAGTGAGATGAAAGCCTGCATTCGAAAGTGCATTTTCAGAGAGTACAAAATCGAAAGAACTGTTGTGTAGGTGTGCACAAAGACTTACCTATTTGTCCGAGTAACAAAACAGCAAATTGGGTGATCAGCCAGTCTTCCAAGGGCATACTCACATCACACTACGGCTTTTCTGGAGGGCATGAGGCCATAGAGAAGGTCAGAATCATGCAGACAAATCCTAATGCCGTATTGCCTGATGCTCTTTTCATTGTTAGAGAGGGAGTTCCCTGGTTCTTGATGTTTGCTTTTTCCCTTGCTTTGCCGTCTGCTGACGCGGCTGCTTGCTCGACAATGAATGCAACAGGTCCTCTGAAGCGGAAGGTGTCTGTGCTGGATCCATCGGCGAGGGGTAGTAGCTACGCTGGAGCCTCGCGTAGAGGCGAAGGGGCTCATCAAATGCCCACGGGAAGGTACTGGGATTGCAATTCAAACCAGTTCTGGAATCTCTGTACCGTGAGGAGGAGGGCGGGTGTGTCTCAATGGACTGTTTGCCATGTGCTGTGGAGTGCTGCAAATTCCTGTATTTCTGTGAGGGAGTTGAAATATGTATTTGCTTGGCCTCTACTTGCAAGAGTTCCTCTGCAATTCACACAGTGAAGGGATTGTCCGGTCCATGCCTATAAACGTGGACGAGAGGCACTCTGTCTATAAGCTGAAAGGAAGAAGGGAGGTTGATTAGCCGTTTGTCATATTGTACAGCCCCCATTGTCGGCCTCTTGCCTACCTAGCACAAGTAGTATGTCTAGTATGTATTGTGACACTTCCTGGTTTACACCGTTGACTTTTTCTTCATCCGTTCTCTCACTTTTGAGCTGCTGTCTTTATTTCATTCTCTGTCTATGTTCTGTGCTGACTGTGGCAACTTTTCTTGCTCCCTTGGATTTTTTTTTTTTTTGTTTTGGTTGGACCCACAATTGCTCCAGAAATGTTTCTGCTGGAAATGATCATCCGGGACCGACATCAATCAAGGCGTCCTTCCGGGACTCCTCTGGGACAGTATGGGTGTGCTCGGGAGGTGAGCTTACGCGAAGTGATGATCGGCGAGCGAAGGTATTGAAGAAGGGCTCGACCAATGAGAGTGTCTTGGATGGAAAACAGTCGCCGCCTGCAGTGCCGTCTAGTGTTAAGAAACAGAGGAGTGCACGGAAAGATGGTGGGGGAAAAGGTTGGGCGAGCATTGGTGCAGGAGGTGTTCGGCAGGCGATTGTCGGGGGACCACATCTTGATTGGTTTGTCCCACATATGCTCGTGTGGGCCAAAGTGGAAGGGTACCCTTGGTGGCCAGCGAAGGTGAGAAAGCCTGCTCTCTCCAATCGGATCCACCTCGCTTACCCATGTTTGTCACAGTTCACATTCTCCACCTTCCCTAAATCTGTTAAGACCCCCCTCTGCGGATGCTCCTTGTATATGTGATATATGTACTGATCTCTTCTGGGCATGCAAGCGGGGATATGTGCGAGGTGATCCTTTCTGCTCTCTGAGGTTCGATGTATGACAAAACCATAGCAGAATGAACTATGGGAAGGTCGTCTGTGACCTCTTCTGTAGGTTTTTTGAGCTGGCTGTGGACATCGGTTCCTTGCTACCTGTATACCCTCCTCCATCCTCTCCTTTGCTACCCTGTCGAGCCTGATCCCGATCTTTCCCCTTGACACCCCTTTCCTCTTCTGTACTTCCCGTACACTGCCGCCCGTCCCGGTTTCGATCCCCCTCCCTCTCCCCCCCGTACGCTATCCCCGGCATTGTCGTTAGTGGGAGTGGCTGGATGATAATGTTCCTCTGCTTGATGAACGAATGGTCGTAAATGGCCTCCACAGAAATGAGGTAGACTGCTGTCTTGTATTGAAGCTTTCGTCTTTTGGGTTACTTCCCCTATGCTAACTGGGTGATCCTTTTTTGGTGTCTTCACATGTCTGTCCTCTTTGCCCAGGTTGCTGAGATTGATGAGCTGCCAGAGGACATCCAAAGGTGTGTGTGATCGGTTATGGACATGCATGTGATTGCCGGTTATTTACCTCTCCTCTTCGCACGCTTCTTCTGCTCCTCCTGCAGTCTGTGCCCCATTTTTCTCCCCAGTATGATCATCCTGTCAAGCAGGACCAACATCTTGCTAAGGTGTGTCGCTGCCCTTCCGAACACTTGCAGGTTCTCGGAAGAAAGTTTCTATGTGGTTGCAAGTGGTGCTTGCACAGTCTGCGTTAACTCTCGAGGTTAACTCTCGAGGTCATGGGAGTGTGTTGCTGCTGTCCGTGTGCCTTGTGGTCTGCGGCTTTCTCGTTGTGTTAGCTTCTCAGAGGAAACAGCGTTTTGCATTGTGCAGCTGTCATGTGGTGGCAACCATACGAACCGTTCTCCCTTTGTATATGCGAGGGCCGCTGGTGGCTTAAACCGCCAGTACTTCTGAGGGTCTTTTTCCAGATGCAGATTTCTGCTGCGCGGCAGTGTTGCATACCCCGACGGTTGGCGGCCCTCGACTGGTCGGCGCCTACTGGTCGGGGGTCATCGGCACCCCGCAAAAAATAAATAAATAAATAAAATAAAAGATTGTGGGTCCAGAACCCCTAATAACCCCACCAACACCCGCATAGCGGCCCCCAATACCCCGTACGCCCCCCCAACACCCCCAAACTAACCCCAACACCCTCATTACCCCAACCCCAGTACCCCCGCACCCCCCCACCCCACCCCACCCCACATCTCCAAAAGTTTCTCAGCGGATTTGCGCTGTACTCAGCAAGCGCAGTACAGCCCCCAACTCAGATTTGAAAAAAAATCAGTGGATGGTTGTTTTCTGACTGGTCGGCAGACCGCCGACCAGTCGGCCCTGCTGGTCGGCTGCAATACGGTCGGCGGTCGGGGTCGGCAGTCGGCAGGTATGCAACCCTGCTGCGCAGCTATAAAAAACGAATGGCCCAGGCGCCTTTTGTTTTCTTTCTTTCCTGGTGCTGCCGGTTGTTACGGTCTTGTAGCCCGAGGCCCGAAGGTCGTTGGCCGCTTATGGCCGTTGTTTGAACCAGATGGCTGGGAAAAGTGCTGGTGGTTTAAGTGTGATGTGTGCAGCGGAATCTATTTCAGATTAGATGTATGGAATTCTCTTTTTCGAGGGGCAAGCGGGCATCTGCAATCTGGTTGTTTCGTTGTTGGTTCAAATGTGTGCGGAACGTAGGCCTCAAAGCCATGGGCATCAGAAATATCTCAGAGAGGAATGATTGCTACCTTATGAATCTGCTGGCAATTAGCTGCAGACATGAGAATTGTGAATCCTGCCTGAATTCGGTACATGTGATTTGTGGACTTGTTGCTGCGGTTCCTTGGTACAGGCAGAAGCGTGCCGGGCGCAAATGTGTGATGTTCTTTGGACCGGGCGCAACACCGGGCACGAGGAGCTTGTGAGTACCTTACGCCGTTTCTTTTTTGCCCTAGATCATACACTCTAGATCCTGTGACTTATCCCGGGCCCGTCCACGTTCATGCCTGGAAGGGTTTATGTATTTCAGTCTTTTTGTTTGCTCTTTGTTGCCGATTGTCCCTTGTGCATGGCCTCTGGAGTTGATGGTTGCAGATGGTCAGTTGTGCATGGCCATTGGCGTTCTTCTCAAGAGGCAGGCATCGCCATTGTACACCCTCATCTTGTGACCTTTTACAACTCTGGAGCAGCATATCAGGATTACTCTCTGCTAGTTCTCCATGTACAACTCGTCTTCCTTAGAGAGGCCCCTATGGCGTTGATAATAGAATGCGTGGGCACCCCATGCTCAACTACATCAGCATGGGGAATCATACACTTTTGGTTTTTGCCTTTCTTTGTCTGCGCTTCCCTCATCGTCTCGTATATGTCCTCTTAGTTAGTAACTGCGTCACAGTTTATGAATACAGTGTTCTGGTATTTTGGAGTACATGTCTTTGACATGGGCTTGTGCTGAAAACTGTTCGGTGACTGGTTGTCCTTGATTGTCCTTGATTGTCCTTGTTTTGGATGCAGCTCTTGGGTGAGGGCTGAGCACATGGCAGCATATGATGAACACTTTGAAGAGTTCACTAAGCAGGTATCTCAGCATGTCGACTTGAAGTGCAAGGAACTACGGATACTGTCCATACAGTTGTACCGTTAAGGTCATGCATATTTTGCTCTGGTTCTATCATCCCATTTTCTCGTCTCCTCCTCCTTCGCCTGTGTCTTGGACCTTGTCTCGAGGCGGTTGCTCGAGTTTCCTGCCTGAATAGTGCCCTGATGCAATTGCAAGAAAGATGCGGGAAAGACTGTTTGGTCAGTCAGGCGGGACTTTGCTAACGCCGTCATTTCCTGTGCCATTCCTGCAGATTTTACCGAAGAGATGTTGGGAACAAGATTTTGAAGCTGCAATACATGAGGCGGACTCAATTTCCTTGCAAAGAGATTACAGGGGCGGGCTCTCGCGATCAGTGTACTCAGCAGACAGCTTAGGTGCGGGGTATCAGCAGAAAGGGAGCATGGAAGAAGCAGATGAGGAGTTTGAGGAGGCAGAGGAGGAAGTGGAAGAGGAGGAGGCAGAGGAAGTGGAAGAGGAGGAGGAAGAAGAGGAGGAAGAGGAGGAAGAAAGAGAAAGAGGGGAGCAGCAAGGTTACACTGACGGGTCCGAAGTCAACAGTGATGCGAGTGATGAGTTAGATGACGTGGCACTGGATACCAGACGAACAACATTCACACTCAGAACCAAAGGAAAAACCATTGTCATCTCTGGAAAAAGAAAGAGGCAGCGCGAAGAAGTAGATGATGAAGGAGGTGATGTAGGTGAGGCAGGGCATTTCTCTGACAATGAGTATGGGATGGGTGCTAGGGAACGAGGGAGCTGTGATAGCCAGAAGAGGCATGATATGTTGGATGACGATGACGATGAGGGGAATGAGAGCGTACAAGGTTGGGGTATCAAGGCCGCAGGGCGGATGCATCATGCCGATGGTGAGGAAGAGGAGGGAGATGGCGAGGAAAGGATGTTTGCCAGAGGCATGGGAATGCGTAATAGAATAAGGAGGGAGGGCCGTGACGATGATGCTGACAGTTCTGATCAATATATTATGTTGGAAGATGGCTCCAAGAGGGAGAGACCAAAAGGGGAGGACAATGTAAGTGGAAATCTAAATCATCTTCCTGGCTTCCTGTGTATGCTCTACCGGCATTGTATCTCTTTGATTGGTTGATGCTTTGGGTGATTTTGCATGTGTTTAACAGTTTTCCAGAAACAACTCCCGAGTGTGCTGATTGGTTTATGGGTTGCTGCAGTTTTTTGCGCAAGCTGCTGCCATTCTACACAGTGGTTGAGGTGAACTGCAAGAGACTCTCCGAGGAGGAGGAGCACGTTTATGACCGTGGGTGGTATGACTGCTTGGTCTGGGATCGGGACCAAACTGACATCGGATTTGGAAAATAAGACCTGAGTCCTGAGTTCATGTCCTGAGGGATAGAAGTAACATTGTTAGCTGAAGCACATACCTGCGGAATCTGATTGTAAATTGATAACCAGTTTTCTCCTTGGAGAAAGGAGACTGATGACAGATGACATGTCGATTGATGGCTAGCGGTTGTTGGATGTCTACAGATGTCTTTTTGGAAATGCCCTCGGAATGAGTCGGAAGTATTAAGTTTGCGGCGTATTGTGTGATTTGCTCGTGAAAAGGTGAAAAGTTGTCAAATGGCTTTAACTTTTCTCTTTGGTGGTTGTATTTTGCGCATGTGTTGTGTGCGCTTTGCAGTATTATTACGACTGTATGGTCTGTAATCAGGGCGGGAACCTCCTGTGCTGCGACGGGTGCCCAAGGGTCTACCACCTGTACTGTCTGTCACCACCTCTTAAGGTACCCTGTCTGCAATCATCCTCCTGTACCTCTCTCGGAATTTGCCGTGTTAATTCTTAGACGACGACTTTTCTGACTGAGTGGTGGTTGCGATTGTGATTTTGGGGTCCTATACGTGTGTTCAGGAAGTGTGTTAATTCTCAGACGACGACTTTTCTGACTGAATGGTGGTTGCAATTGCGTTTTTGGGGTCGTATATGTGTGTTCAGGAAGGTTTCAGTGCGAGCATTCCCAAATTCAGCTTTCTATTTTTGGATTCCCCTTTCTAGCTTGTCGAGAATGGTCGGCCAGTGTAACCTCATTCCTTTTAGTTCCTATGAGAGTTGCCCAAAGGTGATATGCAAAGACATGCCGACCACGAGGGGTGCCCAAAGATGACCCATGGTGGATGAAATCTGTGGGATAGGTCCAACTCTTACTGGGAGGGTAGTTAATGGAAGGGGCGATGTGCAACAAAAAATAGAAAAAAAATGCCTGTTCAGTTGAATGTTTGAAATCGCTTTTTTAATATGCCATATTTAAACAGCATGGGGCTCAGCAATCTTAGTGGACACTGTAGAATGGTTGAAAACTGCTTGAAGTGTTTTAAAGGTGTGGAACCAGGGCGTATGGGGGTTAAGGATTGAACGCGTTGGAGGTGGGGGGATTATCGGAGTGTTTTCTGCCCATGTGTGTGTGTGTTTCAAAAATGATCGTAATCTACTTTCGTTTTCTGGGGCATCCTACTCAGTAGACAGGCAATGCCGATGGGCTGGTTGGCGGCAATTGCAAGGGTGCCGACGGTGCTCGGAGCTTGGCCATTTTGCTGGTGCATTAAAATTTGTTGGTTCGTCTTTGGTGCTTGGCATTCACTACAGAGGCCGCCGGCAGGCAAATGGCGATGCCCAGTTTGCAGGAAACGTGCAGAAATGGCAGGCAAGCAGGTTCACCAGAAGATGCAGTACCTGCGGTATAAGGATGATGCAATGGCAGCGAAGAGGGAGAAAGAGAAAGAGCGGAAGGCCCGAGTCAAGGGGAAAAAGGATGACATTGCGAGGAAGTCCAAGAAGAAGAAAAAAGTGGAAGATTTGGGAAGAAGTCCCCAAAAGAACAAGTGCAGGAGATGTGGGATGGGAATGCTGGGTGGGAAAGAGGTGGGTTCATTAGTATGCGACAGCTGCAAAGGACTCGGAGGAGAGCACACAACAGCGAAAACCCCTCTGCGAGGGGGCATCTCTGATGGCCCAGCTGTGAAGGTCAGCAACGGAGATGGGACTGGTGAAGAGGAGGTGAGGTCGGCTCTTCTCCATTTGCGGCAACAGAAGTCCTGACCACACAAATGGCATGTGGATCCCTCCCTTAAACAAAAGCCCTCTGTTTTGGGCAATTATTCAAGTCTCCTCTTGTTGCATACATCCCCTTCCTTCCTCCTGCTGTCTAATGATATATGGCACGCTCGTTGTTTCTTTGTGCACCCCTGAAATCAATACATAGGCATGGCCTCGTGACGAAAGCTCCATATATTAACTCTTTTGCACACTTGTGTAGCGTTTCGACACTTAAGGCTGAATGTGACGACTCTTTTTTGCAGTCCTATGGTGTAGTCCATAGTAGAACCTCACCCCCGTGTTAGTCTGGGGTGCCAATCATCCAGGAATTGTACTTTTCTACGTTTGTGATGCTCATTGATCTGTCCTGTAACCCCTTGTCGTCTTGCGGTCTATGCGGGAACATTTGCAGCACAAGCAAAGCTGTTATCATGGCAAGCACGATTATGAAAATCACCTCAATTTATACGCTTTGACAGCTGCTTTATTTGTGTAGAGCATAAAGCACAACCACTGTTACAGACTTCGCCAGGGCTCGATCCCTGGTCTATCTTTTGCTGTTTCGGCTGCATCCCGTTTTCGGCCTGGCACCCTTTTTCCAAACCCCTCCTTTGGTACCGTAGGATTTTGGACAACTGGCGCCATGCTGCAATTCGGGCGCCACTTTCAAATACTGCATTTTTCAGTTNTAGGATTTTGGACAACTGGCGCCATGCTGCAATTCGGGCGCCACTTTCAAATACTGCATTTTTCAGTTCTGCCCTCGGGGCCTTTGCAGAAATGCCCCTGGTACCGTACGTGTCACCGGTACTTATACCGGCTCCCCAGCGGTACGGTGGGGGCAGTCTCGTACCAGTTCTCCGCTGCTGTACTCGTACTCAGTGTGACTTGCTGTTTCGGCATTCRGAATCCAAGACTTCGACTTTGTGCCTCGCCACTGTGTCCGCGTCCGATCCTCAGTCCGAGTCCGTCGTGTCGAGTGAGTGAGTGTGTGTGTGTGCTCTCACTCTCTCCCTCTCTCTCCTCTCCCTCGGCTCACCCTCAGCCTCATGCTCGTTACAACCACAGTACAGTATGCCCACCTGAGCGGGATTGTTCAGAGTTTTGCGCGAAGTGGGGCCCCTGTTTGCCTACACATAACAATCTTGAACATCTGCAATGCAACTATAACACAATCGTTTGGGACACTTATGGATACGGATTCTTGACCGTACGTTTTTGCTTACAGACACCAGTGTTGGCCATTCAGAGGCCATGTGATGTGAAGGTCTAGTCATTAATTTAACCAATGGTCTGCCGGTGTGGATGATATCGCAGGTCAGCTGGGCGTGTGAGACCTGTGGATTAAGTGGATACGTAATCTGCTGCGATAACTGTCCAAGAGTGTACCACCTCACATGTCTCTCTCCTCCATTAAAGGTATGTGCCCATCAGGGTTGTCCGCTGCCCCTGAGCTATGTACGCAGATTGCAGAGCTAAGTCAATTTGAGGTCGACAGACTCGACACTCACTGCTAGAATAATGTATCATGTCCCCTGAACACCGTGGTGGGAACTCCAAAGCCTGCTCTTCCTGAGCGTGTGCAGCAGAAACTCACACATACAAACAAGATTGACATGAGTAAAAGACTGACACCCTTCATAGTCTGCATAGGAGGTCCAATTCGTTCTTACTACGGGATCTATGAATCCCCCTTGCTGTGTGTTACATAAGTTTGTTTCCCCCTAGTTCCTAGCATATCAGATTTAATTGTATTGGATCCTCTCCTGAATGTTTAGGTCTTTGCATGCCTGCCTTCTAAGTATTCGACCCCTGTACAGAATGGCCATTGGATTCTCAAGTCTTGGGCTTGCTAGTGAACATTGAGCCCAAATTCAGCCGTGGTGTATGCTGTATCACTAACTTTGGGTGAGGTGGTGTGTATGGGGACATTGGCTAAATGCGTCCTGGGTCAACTGTGAGGTTTGACCTCGTGATGATTCCGTGAGAGTCACATGGAAGCAACATACATGCATGCACGGGACGACTTTTTCTTGTTGAATAGTAAGATCAGGATGGGATATTATATATGGTACGAGGGGATTGGAATTCCCGTTCATTTATTCCCTCTTGGAAACGATATCGAAGTTTTACTTCTAGCCTGTGAACAAGGAAATCTGATTCGATTGCATGATCTTTGGATGTGGTGGTGGACAAATATCTGCGTCCTAAGTAGACCATCGAGGTTTAGCCTCCTTGTGATTCAAGGAAGCTCCGATGGAACTGTCAGCCACCGTTGTAACTTTCTTTCAGAGTTGTGACTACCGTCTTCACCCGAATAGAGCCCGGTCAAAAAAAAAGAAAAAAGAAAAAAGAAAAAAAAGAACGCCCGGTCATTATAGCCGTATTTGGGGCAACTTTCAGACCAGATGCACAGCTATAATGACCGGGCTTTCTATTCGGGTGAAGACGGTAGTAAGCATGATAATTCAAACACTCTGTAATGCATTCAACCTCGTAATGAGGCGGTGGAAGCCCAACAAAACAGTTTGGCACAGTCTTGCTTTTTTTTTTTTGGAGTTGTGTATAGCGAACATGACAACACACATTGGCAGTATAAGAAGAACAGGTGTTTCGGAGGCTTACTCACAGAGTGCATGGACTGAAACGTCCTCAGATCTGCGCAACCACTGGCGTCCCCCTTGTGCATGCGTCCAGTTTGGATTGGTGCTTGGATGGTTTCTGCCATTTGAGTGCTGATGTCACTATCTTTACCGGTGGAATTCGCTGGGTATCTCAAGCTAAACTTGACATGCATGGGACGTCTATGCCTGGCAGAATGCCAGCATTGGTGATTTGGTAGTTGTGGCCAGTGCATGCTAGATGCATGTGTGATTTTTCAACTGCTGCAGGTATGCGCACCGAAACTTTTTTAATGCACCCTTTGACAGGAAGTGTCACTGTGTTCAATTAAAATGTCACCTGTAGGGACACCCGGCAGGTCCCAGTTGCCTACAGCCAGGCAGGTGGGTGACTCGCTTGGGGGGTATCCTGCCCAGCTCAACCTGGGCAAGTTGAAGTCCGGGAAATTTTTTCCCTTTGTTTAGGGGGGTTGGGGGGTAGCGGAAGGTTGGGGGAGGGGCGGTATAAATTGGGTCCAAAGGGGACTCCGTTTGCTTGTTTTGTTTAATTATCGGTTCAGGAAGAAATTCTGGGGTCATCCATAAGTTGTTCGCTTCGCAAATGATCTCAAATGTTCTCAATCATCTGTACAATTTGATATGGGACGCTGGGCCCGGTTCCCAGCACGTGCTGCTCCCCACGAATAGACTGGAGCGCTTGTTAAAAAAAAAAAAGAAAAAAAAAGTTGTTTGCTAAGTTTGCTTCGCAATTCCGTAAGATAATTCTTTACCAGAATATTTTCACTTTTTTTTTTTGTGCTGGGGCCGCCTAGGACCTTGCCCCGCCAGGCATTCTGGGCAGCCAGCGGCAGCCCGGTGCCCGAAATAGTATCCCAGGTTTGTAGTTTGTTGTTGCTGCAGGCAGAGGTATCTGAACATGAAAGTCCACTGAGGTAAGAGAGAGAGGGAGAGAGAGAGAGAGAGAGAGAGAGAGAGGCTGCTATGGTTCTTGGGCTTCCGTTGTTCTTTCTTGTTTTTTTAATCGAAGGCAGTCGTGAAATGCAAAAGGAAAATCTTGTGCTTCACTGCTTTCAAAATTATAGCCTTTTCGGATCAATCTGATGTATTATGGGTGGATGTTGTTCTTTTTCCAGAGGGTTCCGAAGGGGACGTGGATTTGCCCTGCTTGTGAGCGAGGAGAAGAGAAAGAGGTACAAGACCGCACCTTAGGCCCTCGCATTCACCTCGCCAGAGTCATTTTAGAAGGATTCAACCAGTCCTATCTTCACATGCTAACCGTGCTTGTGTCTCGTAGCAAGGAGCTCGCTGGTGCGGAAGGGATTCAACTGTATTAGTGGAACAGTGTACTGAAATTCAGTGGAACACCGGTCTGATTGTGAAAGAGAAGGTGCACTTTTGACAACGCACGGGTTCTAGTTGTGGCTTCACACTCCGAGATCCTGTCTTTCTGTATTAGTTGACTGGGCTGCTGAGTGTTTGCTCTGTGGATGAGAAGTTAGAGAGCATACGGAAATGGTCTGGTTCGGGTGTAGAAACAGGGTTGTCTTTGTGTATTGGTTGCATGCTGAATGTTTGCTCTTGTGAATGACAAGTCGGAGGAGAATGGAGCATCCGTTTGAGAAGGCCTGGGTTTGACACAGCAGGTCTGATGGTTGTTTGTTGGCATGCAGGTGGATCGCATCCTTGGATGCAGATGGAAGAAGAATGGTGTATTGGGAGTGGGAGGGAGCAGAGGGAAGGATGTGGATGTGGGCACTGGGAATGTAGGCGTGAGTGAGGTCAATGGCCGTGCGGTGAAGTCAGAGGCGGAAGGAGCGAAGCCAGAGGGGTCTCAAGGTGTGAAGCAGGAAGATGGCACAAGCAACGGGCCAAGCAATGCTGAAAAACGGCAAACAGGAGAGAGAAAAGACAGGGATGCTACAGGGAATGGCATGATGAATGACACTAAATCAGCTGATTCTGAAGAAGATGGGATGGAGTTCCTTGTAAAATGGGCTGGCAAAGCCCATATGCACAATGGGGTAAGGGCTCTGACACCCCAGCGTACTAGGGTTATCGCTTGCATGTTCTGACGTATCACAGAATTGGTTTACTAGACTCAATTCCTTTGTTCCATTAGATTGTGGAAGGTGGTTGGAGCGGCAAGGACACCTGAAACTTGTGTGTTGGTTGTCCTGGGAGATTTGGTCGGGGTTGATATTGTGGCTCTTCATATGCATGCTCCTATGGAATTTTCCGGTTTTTCACGCTCTGAACGATTGGGTCTATAGAGTGTGGCGTTCAGCCACTCAGAGTGTGTGAGAGCAAGGAACCACGTTTTTGTAGGTATTTGAAGTGAAACTTGGGTGCAATGGAGCCAGGTTATCATATTTCAAGTTTTGGTCAAATGGGAGGTGGTCGGTCATGCATTGGTCGTCAATCGGTTTATTAGATGGCATGCTGGATTTACGTTTTGGTCTGCCTTTGAGCTCGTTTATGGGAATTTCTTTTCTCTAGTGATCATTACATAAAAGAGGTAGTAGATGGGTAGGTCTCATCACATTCATTGGGTCCCTCCTCTGTCGTTACCAGGTATGTATCATCGTGATCTAGCCCGTGCTCTGTGGCCTTTTCACCTTCAGTTTCGAATGGTGTGCAGGTAGCTGGTAGTTGTTAGTTAGTTTTGTGCCTATGTCTTCTGTGCGGCGGCCATACTTTCCACTCTCTCTCTCTCTCTCTCTCTCTCACACACACACACACACACACACACACACACACACACACACATGTAAGAGACTCGCAAGCACTGATGTCAAGCAGAAGATGGCCTGCAATGTGTATAAGTTCTTTCTATGGGCTGTGCGCTCATGTTTGTAACCACATTCTGCTTGCGAGAGCTATTTCACAGTTCAGATCAGGAAGCAGCTTTGATTCGTTCTTGTCAATGTGATGATTCAGTATCTGCAGCATGTATATGGCAGTCGTTATGTCTACAAACATGGGTTTTAGGGACTATTTCCCTCTCTGGCTGGTTATCTTGGAGTCTATGACTTAGAGCGAGGGTGCCCTGATTCAGCTGTGTTCGGCAATCGCATTTGCAGCATGTGCTTTATGTTCGTTGTTGATGTGTTCCGAGCACTAGTAGATGCTATGCAATGTAATGCGGCAAGGCCTTTCAGGCGTGAGCTCTTTCCTTTCCTCGAGCAAAACTATTGTAAGGAATCCCTGTACCCGATATTCTACTCCTGTTTTTTTTTTTTTCATTATTGACATGTCTGCCTTCTGCTGTGGTTGGCTATGGTTCGGTTTTGCCAGTGGATCAGTGAGAGCAAGCTGAAAACTCTTGCCAGGCGGAAGCTGGAGAACTACAGGTTCAAATACGGCTATGGGCCAATGCTGCTCATGGAAGAGCAATGGACTCGTCCTCAACGGGTAAGGCAACAGATTCCTTCTGGAAGATCAACGGCTGTCTTTCAACAGGCTTTGTATTTGTATGCACGTGTGTACATAGTACGCGTTTCCACATCGAATGTGAAGTCAGGTTGTTGGGTGTCTTTGTCGATCAGGTGCACACAAACATGGGAACAAAGATTGGACCAGGTCTCAAATGAAGTGGGTGGAGTTCCTGGTTCGTGTTGAGATGCACCAGCATAACAGGAAGTATTGTCTTAGAAGCAGGTTGATTATGACACAAGTTTTTGGATGGGAGTAGGGGCTGTAGAGGTGCACGCTCGGGATTCCATTTGCTATCGATTACTTTTCAGACAAGTATTATATAGAACCAAGTAACTTGCAAGCATCTTGAACAGCATCAAATTCAAAGTGTGGTTGATCATGGCACTGCTGGTTGGGTGCCATGTTCGCGCAGAAGAACTTGTGTATGAGCTCGTGCATGTGGCAGCTTGAAGTGCTGAGGCCCATGTTTGTTCACCCTGAAATTTGAGGGTGAGACTGCAGGATTTAGGTGGTGTTTGAAGTGAAATCCAATGGCAAGGCATGTGCCACAGTTGTGACCCATCACAAGGGTGGTGTAGAAAAGCAGGAGCGAGGCCTCATATCCCGAGTCAGTTGCCGCTAATGGAAGCGTGTCAGCTTTGCCAGTTTGGCACGTGCTCTTTTGGGGGAGCAGTCGGCTTTCTGAAACTTGTAAAACCCTGAGGGCTGTATTTGCCTAGACGATGAATAAGACAGACATTACTGTAGATTGTAGGTAGGGTCATGTTTGAGGGAGGGAGTGTTCTTTTTTTTTGCTTGTAAAGTACCCAGTATCAAATCATTTTAGTGTCAGATGCCAATCTAAGAAATCAAGTGAGGTTTAGTCTAGAGTTGCCTGAGAGTGGACGTGAAACTCTGTCGCTGCTTTTGGTTCCTTGTTAATCCGTTGTTCACTGCTCGTGTCCAATGCCACTGCTCATCAAGATTGTATGTTGATATGATGTAGGGTCCGAAAGCTGTCTCTCACTTTTCTCATTCATACCCCCCAGGCATGCTCTCAGGTCTGTAACTATGAATGTGGTCGTGGTTGTGGTCAACAGGTTGTAGCAAAACGCAAAGGAGGGGGAGGGAAGATGGAGGTACTTGTCAAGTGGTGTGGTAAGTGGGCACAACTGGCAGTTAGAGACAACCATGGTCACATCTCTCAGTTGTTGCTGCGGCCTTCTTTCTTGCCATTCTTCTCTTTTCAGTCTTCTGATCTGCCGTTGTGCCAACAGCCTGCATGCGTAATTTGTAATTTCGTACCAGCCGGTTTTGCTCCTGCAACTTTGGAGGGAAAGCTATAGAGTGAATGGATGAGCCGTGGAGAATGTTCCCAGTTTCCCCATTTACTTGAATGTACAGGCGTGGTTCTTTTTTTGTTTTGTTTTGTTTTGTTTTGTTTTGTTTTGTTTTGTTTTGTTTTGTTTGTGTGTGTTTTTGTGTTTTAGCCCTCAGATAGCTCCAGTCCATTGGTGGGGAGCTGCACCTGCTCCGGGTCCAGCGTCCCTTATAATAATACCATTAAAAATTGTCTTAACTGGGGCCATTACCTGGCTTAGGCTGCACCAGACCCTGAGAGACACACTCGATCAGACTTAACCTCCACAGCTCCCTTCGGGGCCGCCTGCAGTCCCTACTAAGGCTGTACATAGGCAGGGTAACCCGGTAAAGCAGTGCTAGCTACAGCCTTGGTTCGTCCTGGACTGCTGCCTCTTTGCATTTCCATGCTCAACCCTGCGACTTCTGCCATTTCAAAAGACATCATGCTCGCGGAAGCAGGCACCTGTCCAAAAATTGTGGCAGTGTGAAATACAGACGACTGAGTTTCTAACTTTTCGACTTTGTGATGGACACGCCATGCAATGTCATGTGAGGGATGCCCCAAGCTTGCGACGTTGCTGCCTCATAATGTATCAGTACAGTTTGGTGCCATCCGTTTGTAACTTTGCAACTTTGCATTGATAGGAATGTACATTGGATGGCTACACTTTCAGAAGCACACTGTTGTTTGCCACGTTGGAATCCTTGCGTGCTCCTGGGATGACCTTAGACGAAACGTGTGGTAAGGTGTGGACTGACACATTGTGCTTGATCGATACAACGACAGGGTTGCCGTATGACGAGTGCACGTGGGAGAAGCTCGATGATCCCATTCTTACGGAGAATAGTCACTTGCTACAGTGCTATGAGCGATATGAAGAGGAGGCATTGAAGATTGAGGAGTGCATTGCCAAAGGACAGGCAGAGGGAACAGTGGTGAAGGACTTCAGCAGCGACAAGAGGGGAGGAGCCCCAAGGATGGACTGGGGCCCTGGAAGGGCAGCCATGGGTGCTCTAATGCCAATGGAGGTGGAGACATTGACAGAGCAGCCACCTCTGCTGAAAGGTGGCACACTATTTCCACATCAGGTGAGAAATGTCTGTCAAGATGGCTCCCACATTGGTCAAGGGATGTTGTTATCAGCAGGACTCTAGGACGCAGGAGGCGCCCAGATAACATATTTTTTCACATTGTTTTTTTACGTTTTTTTCGCTCTTTTTCCAAAAAAATTGTGGTTTACCCTTTAGGAGAAAACAAGTCAAAATGCTGGAAAATATATATTTTTTTTATTCCTTATTCTCTATCTATTAATTACTATTCTTATAATAATGAAATGCAATATTCTATTACATTGTATTCTTATCTTCTCCAATCTAATTGAAAATAGCAATATGTATGTTTATTTCCATTTATCAAATGTTTCTTGTAGGTATGAATCGTCTAATAGAATATTCTCT